CATTTTAATAATCAAATAAGTATGTGAACATAACCAATAACCTACCATAGCCAAATACATATACAAATAAACAAATAAATGAATTTATACAAATAAATGTAGCTTATTTTATTTTTGTTGTTCATTCATATCTTATTTTAGCAAGTTAACATTTATTTATTTATGCACATTTTTGTATCTCTCCAACTTTAAACGATATTTTTGGTTAACTGTCCTATAGTATACATTGGAATGATTTCAAACCTGTTTTTATTTATCCTAATAATTATAAAGGAGTGCCTTGGAAATATGTGTTTACATAATTTGTGGTCAAAACGTTTGAGACCCACTGAGATAACTTAGACTAAAATTAACTATCTAAATACTCAGAGAGTCCTTAATCTCACTGAGCCTCTCAGTCTGACAGGAGAGCTCTCCTCCACCCTGGTTGTAGAAACATCTACTTCTTATATCCGTTAGCGCAGCTAGCACCAGATTCTAATAACAACAGCGCCGGTACCGGTGCGCCCTCTCCCTTGCTCGCTCTCTCGCTACCACACTCGCACTTTGGCTGTGAGCTGCGGGTGCCAGATAAGCCAACATCCCCCACTTTCATCACTTACAGCACCCACTGTACAGGGCAAATTAAACGTGTAACCGGGGTGAAAAATCGTTTACATTTACTTAATTATGAATGTTGTTACATCAAGGCCGAACATTTGGATGAGCACCAACGGTCCAAAAATGTTTTCCCTCCCAGAGCTACCAGCGCAGCGCCCCCCAGATCTGGCGCCCTAGTATGCCAGTAACACAAATACTACAAATCCACATAACAAACAATCAAAAATGAAAAAGGGTCGCCACTTATTATTATTTTAAGAAAAAAAAAAGAAAGTACCTGGGTACCTGGCTGGCGCCCCCTAGCAGCGGCGCTCATATTTCAGCAGCGGCGCTGCGCCGCCACTATTTGTATATAGGGGAAACACTGAAGTAGATTCAGCGTGTATATCGGCAGTTTGTTGAACACAGCGTCCCAGGTCAGTTGGCGTTGCTATGAGAGGCGCTAACCCGCCCCCCCCCGCCTGCTCTCCCTGCTGCCGCTATAAAATGAGCTACAGCCGCCAAAAACCCGCCACTGGCCCCTCGAGCTACACCCTGCTGCCAGGGGACCCAGGCACGGGCCAACACTGTGTGTGTTCACACAGAACAATATAAAGGAAATAGCTGTTAGCATTAATCTGGTCCTCGTGCCCGGAGGCCGGAAAGGCCATAACATTAACACGCACAAAGACTAACAAATGTCAAAGTACAGTTTAAAAAGGAAGGAAGATGTCATCAATTAATGAACTTAAAGGCTGCACTAAAATATATATATAACAATTTCACATAGCAACCGCATGATGGGAATCCCCCGTGTTAATCACCTATTTGCTGCTGTTAGCCGAGCAGACATCTGGGTGTCGTTCAGCTGCTTAACGTGGAACATTAGGGGAGCAGCTACATACAGTCATTGGAGCACAAACATAACAAAACATACATTTTGAAAAAAACATACTTACAGAAGTCTGACACGTGACTGCAGAGCTGTGTGTGCAGTGATGTCCTCCGGCAGGTCTCGGGTTGAGCACCACTTGTTTCTGTTACACGTTCCTCTGCAGGGCACTGGACAGCCACTGATCAACCACGTTTTCAAAGTTGGAGCCCTCTGTCGACGGTGTCACGTGTTTCCGCTCTGGAGTACAGATTACTTCCGTTTGCGGTTTCCATAGTAACAAACAGTTTGTTCAGCTACAGAGACCGAACAGCCACAGGTAATACACTTCTTTAGTTTTTCAATAGCATAATAACGTTTATCAGCCAAGAGGACCACCTAGATTTCGTAAAGAAGGATTTGGCAATTCCTTTGTTAATTTCTCAAAAACAAACTTCTAACTCACGTTATTTTGATCACATTACGTAATTTAGCCTAACCTTTATAAACGTACGGTAATCTGAATGAAATAGTTATTTATAATGTTGTATTACTTTCTACCTGCTTATAACAGAACAACATTGTTTGAGGAATAACTGACAAGAGTGGTATTGTTCCAGATATGAGCCGCACAGAGGCATCGTTCCCCCCTCACCACCGCCCCCCCCCTCAGGACTGCAGCGTCCCTGTGGAGCATCTGGACTACGACTACATTGGAAAATGCAAAGATGTAAAATACCTAGAGAAGATCTGCACGGTGCTCAGGTAGAAGCCACATAACTGATGTTGAGTGTTAAAGGTCCCATGTCATGGCCATTTCCACTGATCATAATTCCATTGTTGAGGTATACTAGAAAAGATTTACATTGTTCAATGTTCCTAACTCACATTGGTTTCTCATTCAGCATCTCTGTAGAGTATGTGTATTCACTCTCTGTCCTACATGGCTTGTTGGAGCGCCTAGGCACGTCGCGGTACCCAGGAAGAAAAAAATGGAAAAAGAAAAATCTCCAACGAGGCGTTCTGGGGCAGCATAGACAGGTCTTTTCTGTGTTAGAGTTTTACTCGCTACATGGTGTACCATGAGGATGTGTGACTGCAGACCGTTTACATGCAGACAAACTTTCACAACACGAGGGGACGGGTCATAACCAGAAAAGCATGACATGGGCCCTTTAACAGGTAGAATTGATTTAGTATGGTAATCAACAGAGGTGTAAAGTAACTACCAATTGCAAAAGGATAAAGGACAAGATTATGACTCAATACAGTCTAATATACTTTTAAGAAAATAATATTTTACTTTGTGTCAAGGTCTGGCGACGAGGGCATTTATCCTCATCTAATTATGTTCTGTGAGGATCACTTGGAAAAACTGGACCCTAGGAGCCTGGCCCTCAGGAAGGAAAAGCGTGTGTCCACAGCTGCTTGCCTTCCAAATGATGAGTGGAGCCAAATTGCTGATGAGTTGAAGGCATGCAATATATCCCTTTTTTTTTTTAAATAATCCTGTTCACTGTTGTCTCGGATATAAAGTCATTTTTCAAATAAATACTTTTTTCTTTACAGAAATGGCAAGAAGAAACCAAAGCGTCAGAGATTTCACTGAAACAGCAGTCAATGTTGGATGCTCTGGTGTTTGAAAATATGCCACCGATAAGAGGTTCCAATTGCTCTGTTCCACTATGCCAGGTAAACAGTCTCCACCTGTGTACGCAACAGTGTTCAAGTAAGACACATACTCAAAATGGAGTCTCCTTTCATTACAGACTTCAGTTAAAAAAGAAAAGAGGACTCTTTCAAAACACACTCTCCCACATGATTATCGAGAATGGGACAAGTAAGTCATTGTGTCTCTACATTGGTCTCTTATATTCAGAAGAAAGAACACATTGTCAAAGAAGGCCCTGTACATGAAAGGCTCCAGAGATGTAACTGTGTGAAATGGCCTCAGCAAAGCTTCTTTCATAGCAATGACCAACAGTTTAATGATTGATGCTGCAGCATCACTTTGCAGAATATCTCATTTTTCCAAAATAATGCTTTATTTCCAGGTTTGATGTCGAAAAAGAGTTTGAAAAAATCGACAGAAATTTGGATAAACATGATGCACCAGCCATTATAAACCAGGGACACCCCAAAATCAAAACTAAAGTGGATGCCTCATGTAAGGTGTTACGCAGAGCAACTCATATATTTATTTTGTGGTCATATTGAAACAATAAGTATGTGGGAATTTGTCTGAAATATGTGTTCCAAAATGTCCAGTGCTGACACAACAGGAGAAGCTGCTTCTTGCAAATCACGAAAAGGAGAAAGGCAATGAAGCTTTCAGAGCCAAGGATTATGAGGAGGCTGTTGCATACTACTCCAGGTCAGGCTATTAAACAACTAATTTATTATAAAACAAATCTTACATCTCTTATTATGTTTCCTGGCATTTAATTAGATGTGTGTTGTGCACAGGGTTGGGTTGTAACGGAATACATGTAACGGCGTTACGTAATCAGAATACAAAAATCAAGTAGCCTAACTGTATTCAGCTCGAAAAACGAGTAATCTGATTACAGGGACTTTCGTAAACCTGAAGTGAATACATTTTGGATTACTTATTGGAATTATTGGTGGAAAGATTTCCTCACAACATTTAATATTCATTACTAAAGGTACAGCCGAATCATCACAGCCCACAAAACCTATTAGCGCTGCAGATGGAGCAAAAAAGCGTTTGAAAAAAAATCGCGGGTCCGCTCGCTCAGTGAAACAATAACAACGAAACAAGGAGGAACAAAAGTCTGCGTAACGGCCAGTCTAAACTACAGGCATCAAAAAATCTTGAAGCTGGGCGTGTCTGAAGCTTGGCGATTTTTTGCGAGCAACGCGACCAACAACCAATCACATGAATCTCCCGCCCCCGACATACAAAGCAATAGCAATGTTAAAACGAAGTAAACTGGATATAAACTCTCCAAACAGGCGAAAAACCTACCAGTTTCACCCACTGTCTCTGCCACCTCCCTCCATGCCTGGTTCCTCCGGTTTGTATCCCGGTAAATAGTTCTGGTCGTAAAGAACCGGGTGATTTGCTACTGTAATATCTCGTTTGGAATATGAGGAAATTAACTGCGGTCTGGCTCTCCCAGCTTGCACGCGGTTTGATTGGCTGCGCTTGCACTGGCGGGATTTGCATAAACGGG